TTGAGGGGAATAGCAGGTCGATCTAGTATGTGGAAGTGCTGCGGGGGAATCTGATATTGACGTGAACCACGGCGATCTGGAAAGAGAATTGCAATCCAAATTGATGGTAGAAAGTTAAGAAGTAGAAGATGGAAAGTAGAAAGTAGGAAGTAGAAAGTCTGGAAAAAGAAAAACGGTCTCAGCGCGTCGATCGCGTTTAGTCGATTACTTACTAGCCTTGTATAGAGCACGGACTGGGGCTCCACACAGGCGTGTTGAGCACGCGTTTGGGTTTTGGGACGTTGCAATGGTTTTGATCTGAATACTCTTCATCAATTTTGGTAAGACTGTTTTTATCCCGGGTTTACCATTTTGTGCTTGTTTTTCTATAGACGCGTACATCTCAATTTGTCCTTTCTTGTCGGTGTTCCCATACAAGACCTTTTGATACTGAAGCTTCCATGACTCTTAGAGTCAATTTTTGGGACGCTCTGGAGTTCCGATTTACAATTTTCTAGGACTCTCTTATAAAGATTCACCATATTGTCACATCCCGAGTGCTCAACCCCGGCCTGGGGCGCGTCTAGTGCTTTTCGTGTCCTGGATCCACAAGGGCAAGAAATCCCCACGGGCGCGGTCTATGATGTTATTCCAGGAGAAGAACAGAGCTGTTTTTGACGATGCTTTTCCTTGAGATTGACAGTCTGAACCGATTAAAATGGACAATCCTGCATGTTGTAGTACAGTTCGTTGGAAAGAAATGAGACCGTATCCCCTTATGGCAGACTTGAGGTATCTCACGACGAACACTAAATGCCCTTGTGATTGAGATTATGGAGTTGCAACCAGGTGCATGACAAGCCTGGTTTTGTTTTGTATTTTTATTATTCTTGAGTTATTTTTTTTTTGCATCTCCTACATCCCTCCGATTTTGGTGATCTTTTAGATATGGTGGTCTATTGAAGACCTCCCCTATTGTCAACATGGGGTCTAACTGGTAGAACAATCCATATAGTTACCCAAGCGACAAATGAGACCGACAGAACCAGCAGATTTACAAAATACGAAAGTAGTTCACGTTGCGTCCCTCGTCAAGCTAATTTCCGCGGTGTCTATGTTTGGAGATGCAGAAGACACACTGGGACCTTGGCTTGGCCTTCTTTTTTCGTATAGATCGCTGAGTACAACGCTTTTTTCTCCACCTGTCATTGCTACTTTTGACTCGCCTCCGATTATATTGTACAATTGGATAACATAATACCATACCGATGATCGTTAACATCCGAAATAGCCATAGTACGTATGTGCAGGTGTTTCTCTGTAGTGCTCTCTCCGCATGATATCATCGGATGAGAAAAAGAACCTCCAGGGCCGACTTGAATTGTGCTAGAGAAGGAATGAGATATAAAGAAAAGGCGAAATGACCAGAGCATCTCGAAATGCATCTCACTAGGAACCACAACAGCCAAGGAATGACAACGTTGATCGTTGATCGTTGATCCTTCCCCGCATTCATATTTCAACATTCTCTCTCTTCCTCTCTTCCTCTCTTCCTCTCTTCCTCCCTTGATCCCCTCTTTTTTGCTCCCCCATTGCTACAATTCGCTTAGTTGTACGTTCGTTCCACAATTCCACTTATTATTCCCAATTCAGACTTAATCGTGAACTGGACCCTGTGTCACCTCCGCCAAGAGTGGCCATGCAGCTGTCACTCGTGGTCCTGGCCGCTGTATTCCAGGCAGCGGTTAGCACTGCATCTTTGCTCACTCCACCAGTTATCCCCTTGATCGTACGAAATCCATACCTGAGTACCTGGCTCGCAAATGCTCGGGATGTACCTTGGTCAAAATGGCCCATGTTTTACACCGGAGAGGAGGTGGGACTTTCGTTGATGGCTCACCTTCCCAGTCAGAATACTGTCTACCCTCTTGTTGGCAAGCCCCACGAGTCTTTGGATAATAAATCAAAGTAGGGATTTGAAAAACGGTCACTCGTGAGGGATTTGTTTACTAATATGTGACAGCTACAAGATCAAGTTCCCTAAATACCTGGGCCTGAACTATGACGCCTCAACGACCAACCTAACCTACCACGTTGACACAGGTACCGAAACCCCTGTCGACATTTCAATTTCATTCTTTTCCCCCATCACACCAACTTCGACTTTGCGCCAGTCAATCCCGGCCTCATATATCACGATCGATGTCCAAGGCGATGTCGATGTCAGCATCTATATGGATGTTGACGGCCGCTGGGTCAGCGGAGATACTGACAGCAAAATCAAGTGGGTGTGGGACAGCTTGAAGACCGAGCATGAGGATCTCACACTCAATCGATGGCAAGTGCAGAGGGAGAATGAGCTTCTTTTCACAGAGACTCGCGACCGTGCCGAATGGGGCACTCTTCATTTCATCGGACCCTCTGTAAATCCTACCTCGTCAAAATGAACGAATTGATAGCTAACTACAACCCAGGACGCCAAATTCCAGTCTGGAGATGCGACTGATGTGCGTCGAGGCTTCGCAAGATCTGGAGCTCTGCAAAACACCAACGACGATCAATTCCGCGCTATTCGGGATCGATCCCCGGTTTTTGCGTTCTCCAAATCTTTCCATCTCGGCCATTCATCTAACATTTCCGACGACAGCGTCACCTTTACTCTCGCTTTTATTCAAATCCCCGTAGTTCAGTATGCATCATCTCGTGGGCTCACCCTGATGCGACCCTTGTGGGAATCTTGGTACCCAACAACAGAGGACCTCTTGAATTTCCATTACGGGGACTACGCTGCAGCTAGCTCTCTAGCGTCCAATTATTCGCAGCAAGTGGCAGATGATGCGTACTTGTCGGGAGCCGACGACTATGTTGACATAGTTGCCCTTAGTGCGCGGCAGGTGATGGGCGCAACTACCTTTTCTGGGACCCCAGATGACCCCATTCTGTTCCTCAAGGAGATCTCTTCAAATGGCAACTTCCAAACCATCGATGTGATCTTCCCCGCGTTCCCATTCTTCCTGTACACGAATCCCCGGTGGTTGGCGTACCTTTTGGAGCCGTTGATTGAGCACATGCTGAGTGGGCAATACCCCAATAAGTACGCGATGCATGATTTGGGCACACACTTCCCCAATGCCACCGGACATCCCGACGGGAATGATGAGTACATGCCGGTTGAAGAGTGTGGTAACATCCTCATCATGGGTTTGGCTATCGTGAACTCGCTTCGATATGAAGACTCTCTTGCGGCCTCGTCCATTTGGTCCACACAGGGGTTGCCTTCGGTAAGCCCGGAAAGCGAGAGTTCTGGATTGTTCCCTCTTGATAATCTCCAGACACTGTCTGGGATTGCTCACCAAGATAGCAAATGGGGTGGCGGTAGCAAGGGCCAGCACCAGGCTGAGAAATGGGTGACGCGGAGCTATAGCCTTTGGAAACAATGGACCGGATATTTGGTGGAGTTCTCTCTTGAGCCTGCTAATCAACGTAAGAACAATTCCTCTGTCGATTTTAATGGCGTGTTCATCCACCCTAACCCCGAGAACAGTCTCTACCGATGACTTTGCAGGCTGGCTGGCTCTTCAGACAAATTTGGCTCTCAAGGGGATTGTTGGCATCAATGCCATGAGCAAGATCGCCGAGGTAGCCGGCCACGATATCGACGCTGCTTATTTCAAGGTATTGTCCATCTTTGATCTGTGCGGTCTTGGCAGATTAGCTAACGCCACTCGCAGAAAGTCGCCAGCGACTACATCGCCAAATGGGAGGAATTCGGGATGTCTCGAGATGGCTCCCACGCCAAGCTTGCATACGACTGGTATGGCTCGTGGACAACGATCTACAACCTCTACGCCGATGCCCAGCTCTGTTTCCACCTAGAGGAGCCTGACACGGATTCACCCGGCTTCGTTCCGCGCCACATCTACCAGAAGCAATCACTCTGGTATCACTATGTGCGTCAGAAGTACGGCCTGCCCCTCGATAGCCGCCACATGTACACCAAAACCGATTGGGAGTTCTTCTCAATGGCTGTCGCCTCCAAGCCTGTGCGCACAGAGATCCTCCAATCTGTCGCCCACTGGGTCAATGAGACGACAACCGATCGTCCATTCACGGACTTGCACAACACGGAAGGTGACGGTGGTTTCCCTGGTCCAAACTTCTTCGCTCGGCCTGTCATTGGTGGCCATTTTGCATTCCTAGCGTTGGAACGTGCCTGTGGTGGAAAGGCTATGCCTGGCCTGTCATTCCTTGACGATGTTGATGAGGAGACTTTGGCGATTTGGGCCCAGAGTGCTGAGTCTGCGGCGAAGGAATTCACCATGTCGGGCCAGAACCGCAATGGTGAGGGGGAGCTGTAGAAGTTTGCCTTTCATCACAGTGAGCGGTCATAAATAGAGAGGTTGTTGACATGGTGGATCTGTTGTCGCCTCACGTTCTCCTTGCATCCATACCCCCCGGCCAGAATTTTGCAATTTTGGCCATCTTATCATTAGCACATACTTAGATAGCGTTGAGTCCATAGCACCTTGCGTTAATCCAAGGAGACCTCCAAGCCCGATTTTGGTCCCATTTCGTGCAAGTGTGTCGTCGTGTGAATCGAAAAGTTCACGTCTTCTTCAAGTACAACCTCACTGGTAGTTCTGTAAGGTGCTTATTATTCTAGAGCATAAGAAGCAGACATGTCCCATAATTCAATTGAAGATTTCTTTGCGTTCCTATTTTTTTTGTTGACTTCTTCTGGATCGATTCAAATTACATGGGCCCGTCGAATTCAGTCATCCAATTCGCATTTGCTCACCGAAGGCAAATGTAAACACACACACAACACACACATAAGACCAACCCGGAATACGTCTTTTCCCAAGAGAAAAGACAAAACTTAGAATCTGGGCAGTTTTTGCATCCAGCAGAGCACGGGAAATCCTTGACAACCCACAAACTTCCCCTCCAGCCCGATCCCCATAGAAAGAGAAAATAAAAACCATCACAGATGAAGCGACACAATAAATACCACCTCCGGGTGAACTTGCACACCTAGCAGATGGAGAGTAGGGATGGAAGAGTCGGGAAGACAAAGGACATCCGTGTCCGGGAGCACGAGTTCCCGACAAGGTCAGGCAATTTAGTTGCCGCCGAGGCTGGGGAAGTTCTTCTCGTCGACGGTAGGGCCGGCAGGACCGCGGGCGTTGGCACGGGGAGCACCACCGCGGGCAGCGGGGGCAGCACCGCCACGGGCAGGGCGGTCACCACGGGGGGCGCGGTCGCCACCACGGGGGCCACCACGGCCACGCTCGCTGCGCTCACCACCACGGGCGGGGCGGTCACCACGGGGGGCACGGTCGCCACGGCCGCGGGGAGCGGGGCCGCTGCGAGGAGGCTCGACGTAGCGGAGGTCAACGTCAAGGAAGTTCTTCTCCTTGCGCTGCTTCTCGCGCTTAGCCTTCTCCTGGGAGGGCTGGATGTAGGCATCATCCTCCTGCTTGGAGAGCTCCTTGGCGGCAGCCCACTTCTTGTCGAGCTTGGTGCCCTCGTTGGCAGTGCGATCGGGCTTGGCGGCGAGGTTCTCGCGCTGGGCCTTCTCGGCAAGGTAGTCGGCGAAGGACTTGGAGTTGTCGGGCTCCTCCTGCTCCTCGGCCTCGACGGGAGTCTGGGGCTCGTTCTCCTCCTTCTTGGCGATCTTCTCACCCTGGCGCTCATCGTCCAAGGTCTTCTCGCCGCTCTGGGCACCCCAGCCCTGCTGGACCTGCTTGCGGGTGTCGCTGCATTATCGAAAGAGAGGTTAGTTTAATTTATTCAAAGTGCATTTTTCCCCCACAAAATCTCGTCGTTTCTCAACGGTTTTTTTTTTCTCTTCGGGTTCATTCGTTTATTCGAGGGATCGGATCGCTTACGTCTGGCCAGTGCGGGACTGGCGGTCACCGCGGCCGCCACGGCCACCACGGCGGGCGGGCTGAGCAGCCTCATCGGTGGGCTTCTCACGGTTGTTGTTACGGCCAGCGTTGCGGTCACGGTAAGCTTCCCAATGATTAGTTCCGATTGTTCCGTTAAATCCGATTTTCATAACCACATACCGGCCTCATTGCCACCGGTCACACGGCCACCACGGCGAGCGTTGGCCTCAGTGTGACGAGCAGGCTGCTCCTTGGGGACATCACGCTTTCCGGAGCGGTCAACGGGGCGGTCGATAGCCTTGGTGGGGGGAGGAGCGGGTCTGCTGGGGTCGAGCTCTGGGTCGTTACCTGATGATAGGCAACGTTAGCGATCAATGGACCGAAGAACGGATACGAAGAGAGTTTGATTCTTCTAGGTAGAAAGAGCTCAATGTCGTCGGAAAAGATAGCCGAGAATAGGATTCAAGGGAGGGGAAATTTACCCAGAAGCTCGTAAAGGTTCTATATGAAATCAAACAAGTCAAATTAGTTATTGAACATTTTAAAAAAAAATTACTCGGATTCCCCGAGTCGCTTCCAGATCGCGATTTCATTCAGCATTGCGTCGCTAGCAGCGCGCAGGAGAGCTCCAATTCAGCGTACCTTAGACCGGACGGACTCCGCCATGACGCCTGTTGTGTTTCGGAGACCTTCCGGGGAGGCGCTCAACTTTAGACAATCGGTCTAGAGGAGTTAACGGTGCACAAGGCAGAACCCAAGGGAATCCGGCCTGTCAAGATTGATGATGATGAGTGAGCAGGGTGAAGAGAGGTCCACGGTTTGTGGTTGCAGGGTGTAAGGTGACTAATCAGGAAAGGCGGCTTCTGCTCCTAAGCGAATATGCCCGCGCTTGCTGATTGGCTGCCCGCAGTCTAGGGCTTAGGGTACCTTACATAATCATTACGTCAAGAACTATTCTGGGGGCTATAGTTTTCTCATACTCGCTGGGTTAATTCGCTGTTGGACGTATTATATCCACCCTTTCTACATGTGATCCTACATCTAGACATCCTTTCATACATTGATCCATCTTTTAATTTACACAGAACTGACATGTCCCGGTGGAGTATGTCGATCTGCCTGTAGACTACACCTGCGTGCTCTATCCGGGGCCTTGCAGAAGCTATGTAATCATGGAGCTATCCATAGCTCATACATGATGGATAAGTTCAATTTAAGACAGTTGAGTGGGGATTTTTGCATCATCTGGCTAGCAACCGTTTTAGTCATTTTTTCTCTCCTGGGTATGCATTCCGGCCTCGATGCATGCTCGACCCTTCCCTCAACCCCATGAGCCCACAAGCTATCAACCACCCCCTCACCTCTGGAAATAAACACCGGCCTCGATGAAATCAAACGCTATCAGCTGAGTGGCTCCTAGCCAAGAATCTCATGTGTCACTTTGCTTGGAGCCGGGTTATCTATGTTCACAACGGGAGAGATGAAGCTGTCAAGGCTCCCTGCTTCGTCAAGAGTCCAGTAGGCAACGGGGAGATCTATATTATGACCAATAGCTTCAGCGATATCCTTTCAAGGCGACACCCTCCTCGCCCATAGCATGGTACTTGCTGCCGGCAACACCATTCTCTAGCGCAGGTCGGTATGGCCGAGCAGCGCCAAGAGGATGAGCAGCAGGCTAGCGGCTTAATCCCCCATCGATGTAGATAGCATGGTGCTGCGAACAGGCCAGAACAGTGAGCTGCTCGATGAACGCATGGTCCTCATCGCCGTGTACAGTAGGCGACAAACGGATGACGCACGCACACATGTTTTGCTCCGCAAGGCCGGAAATGACCTTCCCATTCTGGGCCCGTTTGTTCATCGGTTGTTCATAACCACTGACTTTGTCTTGGGCGCCGATTTTCCCATGGCTGAGCACCAAGGTACCAAAGGTGGTGGCCAGAGGCTTGTTGGTTCCCACCAGGAGTGAGCCTATAGCTTCGATGGTCTCTTTCTCGTCAATGCAGTTCTGCGCATACTTGCTGAATACAGGGTTTAATGCAAGCTTGATCACGCCGTCAGCCTTGCTGGCTCTTTGCTTGACGATCTCAAAGTCTCGAAAGGAACCGCCGAGTACTTTGACGCCTTTCGCTGTCAGGGCAGCGGCGGCTTCGTCGGAGAGGGCGAGACATGTGACCGTGTAGCCGGTGGCTAAGAGCTCGTCGATAACTGCTCTGCCCATGAAGCTGGTGGCTCCAGGCACGAAGACGTGTATGGTGAGAATGATTGTAGTGAGGATGGCTGACGAAGCGTGACGTTTAAAAAAAGTGAATGCCAAAAAGTCAGAAATTCTCAGGCCCAAAAAGGACTTTCTTCAAGCGTACAAGTGAATATAGCGAAGTACACAGAATGCGAGATCGCCACCCTTTATAGATCGAGCCCATCGTGTTACTAAACTGCTATGAACAACCCAGACCAAACGCTTTCCTTAACTCCATATTGAGCATAAGACCCAATGTCACAAACGTATGCTAACAATTCCTTCGCCTTGCACATGAGTAGCAAATTCAATGAACCTTGTCCAGGGTGAAACACAATGCAGATCCCCACGTCGGGTTTCAGAATTAAGCACATCAATGTAGACAAACCGGGCACGGGTTGTCCTGTTCCTTCGCGTCATTTATTTTAGCCCATGCAGTATCTGACACAAACGTGAGATTGGCGCTATATCAACCCCTCCCCCAAGCGCAGGGTACGTAGTGAATGACGAGGGGACTGTCGAAACTGTAAGATCCATGCGCGAAGGTTCTATGTTCGGATTTTGGGAAGTTTTATAACATTCAACCACGTTGCGATGAGATTTGGCCCCATTGCCGAAAATTCGTGCAGTATAGTCCTGCCTGGAACTATACTCAAGGCCACGAATGGCAAACGTCGCATGGGAAACCTCCGGCAAAACAAGGCACCACATAATCTTCAACGTAACGCGGATATCGAAGGCTATTTCACCACAATACTACATGGTCAAGGGCAAAGTTCTTTCAGTCTCGATTCAGAGAGTCAGGCTCGACGACGCCGGTTTTACACCTACACACAACTAATCCTATAGTACACTCCGGACTATGTTAGAAAGAAATAACAAGACCGGTATTCGCAGTAGGCTCTCGTCTTCTTGTTTTGAGAATTAACACAATACACACAATTAAACCAATCAACCCCGTAATCCATACCGTATGGTCACGACAATGGCAACAATCTCTTACGAGAAAATGTCAATCTGGAACGTAACCAATTGTCTCGGCCCGGATTATCTCTTCCGCGTCCTAGCGGATGAGTATAGAGCATTCACTGCGCAGGCGTATGAAGTGGAAAAGATGGCTGGAGCGTTTTTTGTTTTTGGTGGGCTAGGCAATATGAGTTTGCGAGAACCATTGATTCTAGGATGAAATTATTCTAGTAGATTGAAAGGAGGCAGATGCAGGACAAGTGTGCTAACGGCCGTGATGGAACATTCGATTCATATACAAAATGTAATATAATATACCTCTGAAGAAACCCAGAAGAGAACATTGGTATCAAAACCCTCGCAACGCCGGGGAATGCTCAAATCAAACTTTTAGCAAGAGATGATCATTTGCCACATTAGATGGACAGATATGTGAATATAAAACAAAGAGAAAAAAAAAGGAAGAAGAAGAAGAAGAAGCAGTAGACAAGGTTCAAGAAGACCGTTCAGGCGTTTATTGCCTCGAGTTGTGGTGCTCATAGTTGAACGGGGTGGGGAAGTGCATGCTAGCGCTTAACCCGAATGGATCTGTGTCCAGCATCGGTTCATACTGGCCGAGGAGTTGATTTGCATTGCCGAAATCGCTGGGCGTGCCCTCGCCTGGTGGTTGGTTGAAACCAGACATATTATGGGAACCCGAGGCAACGGACTGCGGAGTGAATCCAGGGACATATGATGCTGAGCCGTCGTGTTCATCGTCAACCATATCGGCCTGGGCATCGTACTCTTGTTCTGCTTGAGAGGTTAGTAGGGGAAGAACTCAACAACAAAAGCTCAAGATAGGCTAACCGAGTTGATCGTAGTGTTTCTGGAATGGAGAGGGATAGTAAGCAGCCGCTGCGACCCGCGCACCGCGAGGACCCATAGCTCCCGCACTACGGGATTGGGGTTTGGCGTCTGACTGCTCGGTCTGCGGCATGCTGATTGCCGGCGGCGAAGTTTGACTGAAAGTCCGAGGTTGGGGAAGGGGCTGGGGCCGTCCCTCGATTGGTGACATGGCGCCTTGGAACCCGAAACTGGGGGACTTGGCATGCGAGGGAGAGGAAACGTGGGAGGTCGGGGTTGCTTGGAACTGCGGCGACGGGATACCGTATGCGGCTTCCCGCTGCGACATGCCGAACGTCTCGGGCTTCGAGGCGATGCCTGCGGGGTGTCGCTGGTTCGGGCGGGCCCCTACCGCGCTAAGCGCTGCCTTTGGGGCCATAGGGTTTGCCTTGGGAGCGCCCGGCGCCCCTGTTTTCAGGCGTAGTTCGGCCTGTACATCGATGCCTAGAGGGGTGGGGAGGTTAGACTGGGATTTGGACCGGAGATTCGGGTATGGATCGTACCTTTTTCCAAGAGGATTCGCTCCAGCAGGGAATTTTTATACCGCAGCATTAAACATTCATCGGCAGCACTGCGATGGCTTTGCTGCAGACTCTGTAAAGATTCCTCGTTGCGCTTGATGGTGGTCTCTAACTGACGGATATACTCGGTCCTGCGTTCTCGGAAGGCCGCCTGGGCCTGCCTATTGCGCTGCTTTCGCTCTTCTGAGGTGGCATATATCTGAACCGGTTAGTATATACAACGCAACCCTGAAAAGATAAAAGGACATAGGACAGTGACACAAAAGAGGAATGCGGGGCCCCAGATTTGAAAAGATGTTACGTACAGGTTTCCTCCCTCCCTTCCTCTTCTGAGTCGTGGCATCTTGAGTCAAAGGTTCGGCTTCCGGATCTGGTGTTGAGACGGTCGAACTGATGGAACCATCCGGGCCAGGTTCATGTTTAGGCACGATTGAGTCCGCCATATCATGGTCAACCATCGAGACCATTATATAATTTAATTCAAGCCTGTAGGCGGCCCTCCGCACACGGAACAGACACAGCCAGTTTTCCCCGCGTTTCCGGACCTGTTGGCCGGCAAAAAAAAGAGAAAAAAAAAAGAAAAAAGAATTAAAAAAAGCAAAAAAGGATAAAAAGGGATAAAAAAAAAGGGATAAAAAAAAGGACGGCTAAGTCGAAAGGGACGTGCGAGATAGAGGAAGGTCAAGTTGTGACATAAAGAAAATTGGATTATGAGAAAGAAAGAGTCAGAGGAATTGAAGATAAAAAGAGAAAAAAAAAAATTCGATCGTGTAAACCAAAAAAAAAGTCAGGAGGGGCTCTCGCGTACTCCGTACTCCGTACCCATGAACCCTTTTTTTTTTTTCTAACTTGTTTTGGTTTCTCATTCCACGTACGAAGTAGAATGAATTTGAATAGCACTTGTTTCAGGGTAAAGTATTCCCGACAAGTGAAGGTCATGCGCAAAGCCGATACCGGATAGATCATCCCATTGCCAGTCCTTGTACCGAGTCCTCCGTGATGTACCTTTTATTGGATCTTCGGCGCCCTGGGATGCCACATGATCCCATCGGGGCACCTCAAAGCGAATCACACCTCTTGACTGGTTCCCTTCAGGATCTTTGTGGGATGACTCTTTTCCCCAGACTTAGGTATACGGAATGCAGATTTTTCTCGCCTGGAATGGTCTGATTGAGATCATGCGGGGGGAGGGGGTTGTATGCCAAGGATTCGAGCGATCGCACTTCAGTCTGGACTTAGGAGCTCAGGGCTGTATACATTGTGCAGACTGCCAGTGAAAAAGTTGAAGTTAGATCTAAGATTATGTTGCAGGGGTGCTCGGACTTGCAGGATCTCATCAGGAGATGTTGGTACTTTGTACTCCGTACTGACGTGAGACGTAGAGGGGTACAACATACATCAGCCAACTCGATCCCGATTTTTAAAAAAAGACCGTGCGCTTGAGGCGAATGGTATAGCCTCGAGGGGTTTGACTGTGACTTGAGATATAACTTCATTTTGATAACCTTGTAATATCGTCCATAATCCTACCACCTCGTGTAGTGCGTCGGCAAAGTGCGTCGGCAAAATGTAGACCCTCGGTGATCGGCACTTCCCCGCCCAAGAAACGTCACATGTCACCTCATCTCTTTTTACCTCCAAATTAAGCTTCACTCTGGGGCCGCATTCTCTATTGAGAATCAGACTTGTTGTTCCTGCAGTATGGTTAACCCCTTACCTACCGAGGACCGTCACGAAGAGGCTCCCACCGTGACCGGATCAACTGCACAAGAATCTCAGCCCGCGCCAAACACCGACGCCGCACCAGCACCAGCACCAGCACAATCGCAGAACGCATCTGGAGACGATGAAGACTCCGACTTTGATGAGCTAGATGGTAACATATACCCGCCTCTCTACCTTGCCCCTCTCCCCTCACACTCCTCCCTGTGGAATGATTCACACTCACACCTACAGACGTCCTCGACGACTTCAACAAACCCAAACCCGCTCCTCCCGCAAACCCACCCGCGCTCTCTGCCACCAACTCCGATCCCCTAACCGGAATCGCACCTCCAGACTTCGACGAAGATGCCTTCCTTAAGCAACTCGAACAAGATATGGCGAACATGATAGGACCCGGCGGGGACGCCAATGGCAGCCTAGACCCCAAATTCCAAGCAACAGTCGATCAAGGCGCCGAAGTATTGGCAAAACAGCTCGAAGAAAGCGGGATCCCACCAGGCGATTTCCTCAAACAGCTTCTCGCTGACGTGATGGCCGAGGGCGATTCTGGAGCCGGCGCTTCAGCAGAGAATCTTGCAGCTGCCGCGGCGGGCATCTCTGCTCCTAGCACTCAGGGTTCCTCTAGCACGCCCAATGCAGGCGCCGAACAACCGGTCGACTCATTCAACGACGCCATCAAGCGCACAATGGGCCGGATGAAAGAAAGTGGTGATAAAGCTACCGCAGCAATTAATGAAGACGACATCTCGGAGGACATGTTGGCGCAGCTACTTAAGGCCGTTGAGGCGGGGGCATCGGGTGCTGGGGAAGATGGAGATCTGTCGAAGATGTTCATGGGCATGATGGAGCAGCTGTCTAACAAGGAGATGCTGTATGAGCCGATGAAGGAACTGGATGTCAAGTTCGGGCCGTGGATCGAGAAGAATAAGGGCAGTGGCAAGGTTTCAGCTGAGGATATGCAGCGATTTGAGACGCAGGCGCGGGTTGTCAAGCAGATTGTGGCGAAGTTCGAGGAGAAGAATTTCTCGGATGACGATCCTAAGTGTCGGGAGTATGTGTGGGAGAGAATGCAGGAGGTGAGTTGTTACTTCGATACTTCTACCTTTGGATCGAGAGCTCTTGTCTCGAGTTTCAGCTACTGACTATCTCTCCAGATGCAAGCGGCTGGAAGCCCGCCTGAGGAACTCGTTTCGAATCCTCTCATGGAGGACCTGGAAGGTGCGGTTGGAGCTGGCGGAGTGCCGGATTGCCCGCAGCAGTGATATGATCTTGATAAGGTAAGATTGAGGCTTGAAAGAAAGTTATCCCCTCGATGCCAAGGCTTTGTTGTTTCCCTTGTCATTCACACATCGTTCATCTCTGCATTTATACACATGCGCAACCCACCTCGATATACCTTAATTTACCTTTTGTACATACCCGGATTTCCCCATCCCGCCTACCCCAAATGAACCCCCAAAACGCCACCCAATGCAACGCCTCGGAAATAGAAATCAACAGTCAACCCATCACCCTAGCCCACTCACGACATATCCATATCCTGAGATTGAGACTGACACTGATCTGCTCGAGGGTCCGACAACCCTATAAAGATATCATCATACTCATCATCACTGAACAGAACACCGGGCCCAGTAGACCGTAGATCCCCAACCCTTGCAGGAACCCCACTATGCGTGTCCATTAAGGCCATTTCCATAGCCTCTTCCTGAGAGATAAACTCATCAAGTGCATCGGTATCATCTATCAAACCAAAGTCAGCAATCCTTGTCCATCCAATCTTCAATCCACACATCCACCGACTTCAACTCTACAGAGAGGGAAATGAAAACTCAACCTACCAGGAAGCAGATCATCCTCATCCTCCTCACACCCCCCAACAACTCCCTCCCCATCCCTCGCCATAGACTCCTCCCACCGTCTCCGGTCAGCAAGATGCTCCATCCGCATCATCTGCTCTCCCCGCGCCTCGAAGCGCCCATCATCACGCTCATGACGCACGCGATTGAGAAACATCTGACGCGTGTTCGAGCGCGCCAGACCTGCCGCGCGCTGGAGTGGATTCGCGATTGTAGAAGCATAGCGCGCTGCGTATTTTGGCTTGGGCGTTTGGCGGGTGGGCGAGGAAGGTGAGGTGGGTGTTTGCGTTCGTAGGGCGAATGGGTTCGAGGAGGTTGGTGTTGTTGAAGCTGACACGGATACAGTGAAGTTCATTGGGATAGGGGAGTGGTGGTTGTGCGTGTGTCGCGTGATGGGCTCGGTTTGGATGTTGAAGGTTGGTGGCGGGTTGTCGAATGGGTTTGATGCTGTGCTTTGCGACGCGCTTTGCATGCTACGCGTCGGGGACATGGTCCATCTGGGCGTTGTGTTGTGTTTGCTGAGCGGAGAGGGGCGGGTTGGAGTGTGGGTTTGGCGGAAGGGAGTTTGGGGGGATTGTGTTGCGAACATCGTGAAGATGTGTGGAGTTGATGGAGTTGGGGTCTGTGTCCGTGGTTCGGATGCGGAAGTTGGTTGCGTCAGGTGGTCTTGGATCTTGCGGGTTTGGGGATGATTTCTTCAGGGCTATTTTGTATGTATGTTGGATTGATTGAGAATCGTGATGGAAAATAGTGATTGAGAGTGCACAAGGAAAGTGGTTTACTTCGTAGAGGTCTGATGAAATAAAGTCAAGGACGGTCACGCTAATTTAGCGGGTTCTGCCCCCTTACCTTGTCAGTGGCCCGGAGTAACTGACTACTCCGTAGTCCATCATTTTAGAACGGTGACATTCCAACAGACACTTAGGAACATCACTTACTCTTTCCGATTATCCATTACAAACTGTCCAATCAATTTAATATCTACAGCAATGCAAAGATTCCAGCTAGTACCGCAATGCCGGCAGCAAACCCGCTTGGCCTTGACAGCCACCGCAATATTCTCACTATTGTCCTTGTGATCACTGGGATCGTCTTCAGTGACGACTTCCGGGTATGTCAGTCAAACCACTTCTGAGTGGACAAGACTACCGTTGCCCGTCCTAGCAAAGACAGTGAGAACTAGTGTTATGTTGTAGGCTTCAAGCAGAACCTGTGCCGAGTGGGTCGTCTACAGCGGATGTTTAAATGCCTGCGTGCATTAAACGTGAGTCTGATACCAAGGGAACCATTCTCTCCCACTGTGAAATGCTCATAGTCTTTCTTGGGGCATGAGACCTCGTTGCAGCCGACAAGACTGGAGGAGAGTGTTCCATCATTTTCTAGAGTAAGAGAATGATTAGAGAGAGGGTAAGGGCGAGCGTGGAGGGACTGAGCTGGATCATTGTTTTTGATGTAATGTCAAAGTGCGGTGGATGTTATTGAACGATGTGTGGGGCGACTAGTCCGATGTGAGAATGTTCTATATCCCATGCCACTTAAGGAGTTCCATTATACGATTCTTTGTGTCAACCAGGTGAGCATTACTCCACAGTTGGGCACCTCGATGACACCATTTATGATGGTTGGCGTGCCTGGCTGAGTGGGGCCGTCTGATTGGAGCCGTCGTGCACGTCATTTAGGGGCGGTTTCAAAGAATAGTTAGCCCTAGTTGATTGGGGATATCGCGCAGTACTTGTCAGAGCCTTGCTTGATCGGGGGCGAAGATAATCGGCCACTTTATGGCGGTTTCAGTGGATTTTTTTTTTAGTCAGCGCTGATTTCTTGGCACTAACTCTGCAATCTCTCAGAGACTCTTTAAGACGCATCGTGACAGGGCTGAATGCGTGGGAAAGAGACTCTGACATTCTCTATGCACAGAATCATGTTATGCACAGAGTGTGCTTGGTTGATCTAGTTAGGTACGGCTCCATGTTACGTAAATCGTCGACGCTCGCACCACATGGGAAGTTTCCACTCGGTTTGCTTCATGGCCCAAGCCTTCAGTCGTCAGGGCCTGCAAACTAAATGCTCATTGCCTCGATGTGGTGATACTCGCTCGACAGTTGTATTCGCACTGTAGGGTGTTGGGATCGGCCAACTTCTGCTGCAACAACCTAACCACTGTTTGTTGACCTCGATGGCTCTTCCTGCATTGTGCACTAGACCATTGTGTACCATCAAAAAGAAGAAAATTCTCCGAAAGCACTGTCCCAGGAAAGCTTCATGTTTACAGAATCAACAAAGCGAACACTTTGGGGAGATAGAGAAGCGATTTCTCACCGTCAGAGCGAGCCCTGGCATGAATGATTATATTGTTGGGTACTTTAATTTCCCGGCAATAAGATGGTAAATTATTTCGCTGATTGGGTTCATTTGCCTTGAATTACATACATGCAGAGATCAGATCAAGATTAAAGATACCTTGCAGCATGCATCTATCAACACTATACAGTCTGTGACGTCTGAGGCTGCGAAAGGTAAAAGAATAGAACATTGGTCAAGGCACAATGGAGTTCGCCATAGGAGAACACTTCGTACTTAGATACGGGGAATCAAAAATGGATAACAAGCATAGTGAAAAGGCGGTGCCTTTTCTTTTTGTCAGTCGTGCAGGGATCGAGAGTCGCGATCACGAAAAAGGAATGTGATGGTTGCCGGGGGAAAAACGCTCAAATGAATGCGCAGGTATTCAATCTAGAATGAATGGAACGGTTGGGTGTGAAGTCACCCAGGGGGAAAAAAAACAATTTTGCTACCAAGAAAAATGGAACCGTGAGCTCGCATACCCTGTCCATAACGCCTGATAAAAAGCATGAAGATCGTACAAGATTTAAACTTCGACGACTGTCGAGCCAATGTAGCATACTTAGAAGTTAGATGCCGCGTTGACAGGACCAGGGTTGTGGTACTGGTCTAGTGTGTTCTTGAAGGGGGTATTGCCCGATGGGCTGGGAGCCTTCTCGCGAGGACCGGAGCCCACAGCGGTGCCACCCATCAGATCGTCCTCATCGCCGTATTGCTCGTTGCGCTTCTTCTGGATTCTCCAGAAGACCAAGCCCAGAACACCGATGATGATGGCACCACCGACACCCACCACAACACCGATGATGATCTTCTTGTCCGAAGAAGACAACCCACTAGAGCTGGAGCTCTTCTCGCCGTTGAGAGAAGGGGAGCTGGCTTCGGGAGCGGGGGTGGAGGTGGTAGTCACCACGTTGGCGATCGTGGATCCATCCCTGGTCGCGTAGGAGGTGATAGTCTTCACGATCGGGGTCTGGGTAGTCGTGGTACTCTGAGATGTAGTGGTGCTATGGCTATCGCTCTTGGTTTTGGACGCGGTGGGCTGAGTGTCGAAAGTGGTCGAAGAGACGATAGCCTCCAGAGTGGAGGAAGGCTCTGCTGTTGTGGTAGGCTCAATGGTAGACTCGGTGGTAGACTCGGCGGTAGACTCCGTGGTAGACTCAGTCGCAGACTCAGTGGTAGAATCAGCGGTAGATTCCGTGGTAGGCTCGCTGGAGACGGAAGAAGTCGTAGTGGTAGTAGGCTGGGCGGTGGTAGTTGGTTCGGTAGAAGTCTTTTCAGATGTTGTAGAAGACGTTGACGAAGTCGTCGATGTAGTTTCGGGCGCTTGAGAAGAGGATGATGAAGTGGTCTGAGTTGTGACATCCGACGCGATGTTGGAGACACCAGCACTCTGGGCTGCGACCGCAGTCACCAGCAGAGCCTGGATGAGAAGCGAGAGCTTGGATAAACGCATGGTTGGGATAACGAAAGTACAAACGAAAGGATTTGACCGTGAAGAGTCAAGAGATAAAACAGAAAAAGAAGGGAAAATGAAAAAGGAGTCAAAGCGACAAGGCAAATGACAGTGTTGTTTGTCCCGAGTTCTGGGAGGCGCTAGTCCTAATTTGGTCCCACTAGTCTCAGATTGGTGTCCACACACCAAACCATTTGCCACTCTGATTGGTTAACTGTTCAATAGGAAACACGGTACGGAGTCCGTAAAATGGGTCGCCTGGACATTTGACCTGATTGGGTTTAAATGTTTTATTTTAGATCTTGAACTTGATAGGTACATCTTATATATGTTAGAGTGGTTCTTCAGACGGAGTACTTTGTATGGAGTAGATGGAAAGGGGATTTCTACAGAGACCAAATTGATGAGTTGATGACATACCATATCCATACGGAGTAAGAGAAAAACTCTAAACATATGAACATGTGTATTCCCTCGCTTCCCGCTCCATATTTAGCACATCTCCCATGATCGGCCTCGAATCTTCCATATGATTGGCATTGGCATTAAGCCATATGACATATATTGCATAAATGCTACCCAGCTGTTACCATAAGGCGCCTAGAGGTTGATATCTTACAAAATTTCTGCAGGGATATCCATGCTGTGTCAGCACCAGTCCCTCGGGTGCCTGGCCACAACTGTACCTGGGCCCCTTTCAATTTCGGTTTTTTCTTCTTTCTTTTTTTTTTAAAAAAAAAAAAGAAAGAAAGAAAAA